GGGGGGGGGTCTGGTACCCTGCACTCAAACCACCACTGCCAGAGCAACAGAGCCAAGCTGCGCCTTTTATTGCAATACAAAGAAATTCACATCTGTACAAAACAACACAACGCTGCCGTGTCTCCCAGCCCCTGCCCCGGGGGGAGCTCAGCACACCTCATCCTCGCTCCCTTCTCTCTGCCAGGGACATCGCACCGCGGCTGCGCCCCGTCCCCACCGGCCTCTGCCGCCCACCGCAGGGTGAGCGCCCACCCCCACGTCCCCCCACCTTCCTCCATCATCTTCGGGGGCTGCGGTGAGCAATGGAGCTCAAGACCCCCCCCTCCGCCGCCCCCCGATCTCATCCCGAGCCCCGAGCCCCCCCACCCCACTGCCTTCAGCCCCTCTGGGCTTCGTGGGAGAGCGAACGGGAGAGGGTCCGTCGGAGCCCCGGCTTGGATCCGCGCAGGTCTGGGGGGGCGAAGAGGGGCAGCGGGAGGGTGCGGGCGTAAGGCAGGAGGTGCTGGGCCAGGGGCTGCCCCAGAACGCCGACCCGCAGCACGCCCCACGGTGAGCGCTGCGTCAGCACCCGCGTCTCTCCGCGCTGCTCCAGCGACTCGCGGCGCTGCCGGTCCACCTCCCTCCGGCACCACCTGCGCACGGGGAGCTCGTGGGGCGGCTGCAGAGATCCCCGTCCCACCCAGCCCCATGGGAACTCTTGGAGACCCCCGTGGTTTCCCCAAACCCTCGGAGACCCCCGTGGCTTCCCAAACCCCCGAGCGCCGTTGGAGACCCTTCTGTCCCATCCCACCTCACGGGGACCCGCTGACATCCCCGTGCTCCCCATCGATACTTCAGAACCCCCACCGTTCTCTATTCACCATCACGAAGACCCTTGGAAGCTCCCCCCCAACCCAGGACCTTCACAACCATACGGGAAGCTCAGAGACCCCCACCTGCAACCCTATCACTGCGCAGACGCCACCTGACTCCAGGAGACCCCCAGTTCCCCACGGGGACCCCCACAGCTCCACAGGGACCCCAACACATCACACCTCCACCCGGCCTCCTCCATCCCCATGCAGACCCCCATAGCAACCCCAAAGATCCTCCCACGGGGAACCCGCGGTGCCCCCCAGGAGCTCCCCCACGATCAGATCTCCCTCAGCCCCAACGCCCTACGGGGACCCCGAGCTCCCGGACCCCCAGCGGTGCCGCTCACCCCTCCTCAGGCCGGGTGCTGAGCTCCAGGTCCAACCACTCAGCACTGAAGGACTCTCGGCGCCCCACGTCCTCCTCCTGCACGCGGCAGCCCAGGCGGGCACTGCAGAGCAGCCCCCCGCTGCGTCCCACCGTGCTCGGCCCCCACATCCTCACAGCGCTCCCAGCGGTGGCTTCTGCTGCCCCGCCGCCGCCCTCCCCGCTTTTATGGCCCCACGGAGGCTATTTTGGGACGTGTCACTGGCACCGAGGGGACAGCAGGGTGCCAAGGGGCGAGCAGCAGGAGGTGGCATTGAGGGACATGTGCGTCACCTCGTGTGCGCCCGCCACGCTCAGCCCCGTGTGCCCCATGACGTGTCCCCAATGGGATGTGCCCCCCCCCCCCCACCGGGAATTCGATGGACCCAAGAGGTGACAAAGGCTCTGTGGGTCACTGTCACCAGCACGGTGTCTGCGCCACCCGGCGCCGCTCCAAGCCAAACCCAGCGCTACCCCTGT